TATTTTTGGGGACACTTTTTTGGATTTTTTTGCCCGAAAAGCGTTTCTATCGATGCCTCTCGTCCAAAATAAGGTAAAAAACGTTGATTTACATATGCTGTCTCAGATAAAACTTCGTTTTTATTTAATTTCGGTGCGAAAAAAGGATTTTTGTCGATCGTTTTTGGCTCATTTTTGGGAGAATTTCGAGCGGAGTCTCCTCCCTTSTCACTATATATATACATGGAGGGGAAATTTTTTTAAACCCATCTATAATGCATTGTGACACTGAATAAAATAAAAGTAGACCATTTTTTTAAGTAAAATTTTATTTTTTAACCATTATAGGTTCAAAGTCACTGCTTGGGCTCCCTGTGGTATAGCGGGCGCACGAAATCCCGGCGGCTGGAGACTGAGCCTAGCCACATCACAGTTTTCATGTTGTTGGCCTACCTGTGGAGACAAATTATCGCGTGGGACTGGCACGAGATGAAGGGTAGCGTGACACAATAGGTCACTGATTAATATTAAAGCAACTTCAGAGATGTAAAATCCCGATCGATAAAGTGATAGAATTATTATGAACTCGTGTATGAATTTAGCTCAGAAAGTGCAGCTAACATGTTCTCCTTTGTCAGCCAAGATGGACGAGAAAGCCACGATCGACGTTGAAGGTCTTGAACCAAACCAAAAGGTATCTCTTCAAGCTAAACTAGTGGGAGATTCAAATGACAGATATCATTCACTGGCTCACTACATAGCAGACCAACAAGGCCGAGTTTGTTTGAATTCTCAGCCTTCTGTTGGAGGGTCGTATGTTGGCGTTGAGCCGATGGGATTTATGTGGAGTCTCCAACCCGAGCCAAATCAAAGACCTGGTCGACGACTGATGAAAAGAGACGTGACAAAGCCTTATTTAGTAAACCTAGCGTTACTGGACGGACATGTCGATATTMTGRAAACAGAAAACTGTCATCCATTGTCGAGTTTAACGATTGAGAGGCATTACATGTCAGCTGGTGTAAGGAGAATTGATGTCTATGAAGGAAGGATAAGGGGGACGCTGTTCCTACCGCCTGGTGAGGGTCCCTTTCAAGGTAAAGCGATCAAAAGTGATTAAAACCAATTTCCTGAGGTCCTAACTTTGACCAATTTTGTTTTGGTGATGTAGTGTTGGGTATTATGAAAAACAGCGGAACACAGCAGTGAGAGGCCAGCAGCTTAACCACTAGGTCACCCGCCCGTATTGCACTAGTCAAAGTGACCCCCCCCCCCCGACCGGGACAGGGTGGGGACTATGTGGAGCTTGGGATCGCATTTGACCAGCAATGATGCCCAAGGGGGTGGGGATAAAGTGAATATTTTATGAGAGTTTTAATATAGTTGGGGCATAGTGGGGCACAAGGTCAGGATTGGTCAAATAATTAGAAAAGGCCTGGAAACTCTTTTAAAAAATGCAACTTGGGCTTCCTGTGGCTCTATGAATGTCATGGACTTTCAAGTCAATTGCTTGAAAGAACCTAATCGAAC